GGCTGCTGGTTTGTGTGACTTTGATGGTATCATCAACGTCTATGTCTTCTTGTTAGTGGAGAATGGCAAGCGTTTGAGACAACGTACCCGAGATCACAGCCCAACCCTCAGGCTCAGCGAAAGCTGTATTCATGTGCAACACACCATTTGCGCCTTGTGGCACTTTCGCAACACTAGGAACAATATCGCCATCCTTGAAATCTGCCCGTAGAGGCTTTATATCGCTGCTGATACCATATCTTCCCCCAGGACCAAGTGCCAACTCGTCTTTTTGCCCAAATGTAACCTTCACCTTTCTGCCTGGGAGAATGCTCTGCATAAACAGCATCAAGCGTTGGCGAATAATCTCTTCTTGTGCATCGCCCCGCCCAATCCCTAGCTTCTCTGCCAAATCAGCCACCACTGTGCTAACTTCCAAGCCCGTATCCTGATCGAAAACAGCGGCCACGAACTCTGCCTCCCACTTCCCTGTTTTCGGGTTCCGATATGCAGTGTTATCGAAGAGCCAGACAGTATCGTTGGCAGAGATGTTGTGAGGTAGAGGGTTCCATTTTCCGAGAATGCTGAGAACATCGGTGCTGGAAGAAGGGCGCCCGTCTGCGGCTGGCTCCTTCTTGACGTCTGGTAACTTGGACTCGACGTCATGAAATTTGCAGTGCTCCCTTGTCTTCTTTTCCAGCATTGTCTCCCGGTAGGCGTTAAGGACCGCCTGAGCGGTCCCAGCCATACTTGTTGCTCTGCGGATAATCGAGGTCATAGGTTTTAGGTACAAACGGTAGTTTCGAATCAGGTTGGTTGGTTTCGATATTTCAAGGTTGGTAAGGATTCTTCGGGTCGTAGAGAAACAGCCCTCGCGATCTTATTTATGAAATCTGCGCAGGTCAAGTCATTACACTAGGTTGGGCCAAATATCAGCCTTCAAGGTTGGCTAATGAGTGCAAAGACTGCCTGACATGTTCAGATGAGACCTCGCGACGTAGAGAGAGCAGGCAGAAGCTGAGCGTGACATCACTACTCTCAGCTAGCCACCCCGCTGAGCGGTGTATGCGCCGTTCGTTGGTTGTTTGTTTTTGTATGGTGTAGCGGCTTGGATAAGGCTGGGCTGAGACGCCAAGGCCATTTCATGGGGTAATTGCTCGTTTCCACCGAGTCCCCTGACGAGGCCCTGTGAATCGAGGACTGTGGAAAATGTCCACTCGGATCAATACCCTCGAGCTATGGGGCATTTTGCCGGGTAACACAACCGTGATCTGCAATATTCCACGATGAATCACTGTCGCTGGAATAGGAGAAATTTTAGGGTAGATGCTTTTAATTTGCTACCGACATTGGTTCCCCGGTTTAGTTACAGAATTTAGACCTAGTCGTGACAAGTATCCTAGCATCACAAAGCTTATCAACCCCATAAGCTAGAAACTAGTAACTCCTCTACGTGCTACCTACAAGTTTACCAGTTACGGCCCAAAATTCCCTTCGATTTGAAACAGAGAGTCCCGCGTCTTTCGTCTTTTATGCATTCCAACTTCCATGGATCAGAACTGAGCAATTACAGATGCGCATTTTCCAACACCAACATGTTTCCTAGCTATTATTATCGCTAACTGTGGTGGGTCCAATTGTGGTATAGCGGTATCTGCTTTGTATCTCTCATGGCCTTGTAGACCCTTCCGGGGGGGGGGGGGGGGAATATTTTATCCGAAGCAACATTTGGTTTGTCCAATATGAGCAGCCTAAGGGATGAAGATAAGCTTCCAGCGCTTTTTGTTGCCAACAAGAAAGTCGACCCTCGAACGAGAACCCGTACTGTACCAATGAGGATTCTGCATCTGAGTATGCCCAGGACAGGAACTGCTTGTAAGCCTAATGCCCATCTCTGACGTTCGGTCGCTAATTAATACTTAAAGCAATGGAAGCTGCTCTTAAAATACTGGGGTCCGGTCCAGTATGCCACGGCTTCAATATGTGGATGCATGTGCAGGACGTCAACATGTGGGGAGAACTCATGAGAACCATATTCTCGTCCAATCCCTCTTCCGAGCCGTCTTATGGCTGGAAGGAATTCGACAACCTACTTGGAGACTACGAGCTCGTCAGCGATTTTCCACCACTCGCTTTCGCTCCGGAGCCCATTGCTGCGTATCCTGAAGCCAAAGTCATCCTCGTCGAGTGAAAAGCTTCGATTCAACATTCATCAAGAATGTCTTTGATCCTGTGACCATTGCCGTAATCGGCCTAAACTATGCACTAAGTCGTTTCTTTACCACGACAAGAATGATGGTTCGAGGTTGGTGTGGTACAAATACGAAGCAGAACTTCAGGCCAGGGCCAAGTCTGCATATCGCGAGCACAATGAGGCAATACGAAGAATCACGCTGAAGGAAAGATTGTTGGACTTCAAACTTGCGGACGGCTGGCAGCCACTCTGTAGCTTTTTAGATGTAGATGTCCCAGATTGTCCGTTTCCTAAGGTCAATGAAGCAAAGGAGTTCCAGAGGAAGAGCAATATCATGGTCAAGATTGCTGGTAAGAGGGTGTTGCGGAAAGCCGTTCCTGCTGCTAGTGTTTTGGAAGCTGCTGTTTTGTGGTTGTTGTGGTACTTATATGCGTAGTGGAAGATAATTGTGAATTCTCATACTTTAGATAGACCCAGCCCACAGAATGAGTCTTTCTCTTAGTATAACATGATATCTGGCCTCAAGTTTCTCCTGTTCTTTCATGCCTCGTAGTCCAGGGCCGATTTTCTATGCTGTGGTAGAAAGTGTTTAAACTAGGACACATTCATACCATCACCATGAGAGGAGAATTCTTCATCTATATATTAAGCTCAGCTCTCATTCATGAGCAGTAATTGACATGGGATTTAATCCCAACATCCCAACGAGACTGAACATAAGGAGGTAACAAGTAGAGATCTATGTCTCAGTCTCTCATGGCAAACCACCTGAAACAAACTCCTCATACGTATGAGTCTTGAAGATAGCCTCCTGGGCTGCGCATGCTGCAATGAATCCTCCCCCGCCATATTTAACCTGTTGTTTCAACTATCAAAAATGTCGGTTATGTCTCACACAAGCGTTCTGCGCAAAGAACCTGACCTATGAATCCTCCAAATCACACATCAAAGTTAGAATTATTTGATAGTGGAATTTATCGTGTTGAAGGTGACTGATGGGGAAGAAAGCGATTATGGAAGTGAGATTCGTGGTAGGAGCCTGATTAGAAGACTAACAAACCTAGCCTGCATTGTGCTTTCGACGAAATGGGAGATTGATGTTGGACTTGTCTTTAGCCGTAAACTCCTCCCACCAGACACATAAACACTGTTATTTATTATAATGCACCGTTTCCATTCCCATTCCTTATTCCTGCATGCCCAATATCCAACCGCATCAAAGATTTCTAGAAATATTTACTCCTTACTGAATGTGTGAAGTTTGTCATCCTGCTTGCCATTCCACCACGTTGCATATTGCTGAGCACAGCTTCTTCCAGAGCGCTTTGCGTAACTGATGATGTGTCTATATCCTCCGTTAGCCTATAGAGACTCATAAATCTGGACTCTATACACCGCCCTGTTATGCAACGTTTGGAAGGTAATAAGAGCATACCATCTAATAGGTCATCAAAACTACTTCCCATACTCGGACTTCCCTCGCTCTCACGGCCCTCTTTAGATAACTCTGCCGTCCGTCTCGGGCTCAATGGTCCAGGGCGCTTACCTCCCACATCCACCCTTCTGCCTATTGGTGCCGTGGAGCTCGCACTCGAGTCGGAAGTCTGGCTTACATCTCCCTTCCCTTTATGTGTTGTTCTTCGGGTAGTCATACCTCGAGGGTCACCGCGCAATGTAGCAGATGGATCGTGATGCCCAGCATCGGTAAAGGGGAGGAACGCAGGCTCTTCCTCATCATCGTCCGCATCCTCACTCTGCCCTAGTTTTCGGGCTTGGAATTTGGATGGGCGACGAATGAAGCGGGACTGTACTGGGGACTCCGAAGACTCCGATGCGGAGCTTTCGCTCGCAGCAGGAGAGGAAAGCGCATCCGGCTGAGGCGAACGATGGGGGGAGATTGTAGATGGGGGTTTCCCGGTAGATAATTGTCGAAGATGCGCATTCGCCGGCCGAGGAGATACCTGCGTAGCCAGCCTCGAACCATGGGAATGTGCATTTGTATTATTTGCCGAGCTCGTCCTCGACATTGGAGGTGCCCCCCTTCCTGTATTTGGCGTCGCAGATTCTAGCCTAGGTATCGGAGAATCTCTGCGTGTAGATAATGCGGAAGCAACTCGTCCTCCCCCTGATCCAGTGCGCTTCATAGACTCTCCTCCCAAACCCGAAGGCGTCTCAGATGTGCTGCCGGGAATGGGGGAAGGCGCTGAGGTCGTAGTGTTGATTTTACGCATATGATCACGAACTTGGTGTAATTGGCGTTCATATAGCCAAGCTGCTTGTTGAAGAAGGAAAGGGAGGGTGACCTCGAATTTGGTCGCTCTGAGAACATGTCAGTGTGATTGAGCTATAATTGTGGTTTCGATTGAGGTACAGTTCATTCCCTGGAGACTTGTCAGTACAGTACAGGAGCCAGGATTAGAATCGCACAGTCTATATCACTAGTTTTCGGATTTTTTGCGAGGATTTTCCAAAGAGCTTTGTCTTTAGAAGCATCCCATTCTACCTAGTACATCCATTAATTACAGATCCGTGTGGGACTGAATTATTCTCTTACCGAAGGAGGATCAATGAAGTCATCGCGGGAGAATGGAAGCCGTATGAAAACTGTATATGATGGGTCTGTAGACATTTTGCTCTACAGTGTTGTCAGCTTCGGGGGTTCTTCATGCCAACTAGAGAGTGATATGGTACCTCGTTGTTATCGGAGCTTGGACGCTAAGATAAACGATACCGCTCATTTTAATTGTGGGGAGTGAGCCCACAATTTTGGCCTAAGCATATATATTATCGCTTATTCAGACTTTCCACAACAAGAAAACAAGCATCTGGTCTTATGGTCTAGTGGTATGATTCTCGCTTAGGGTTTACCCTGAGTTACAAAACTTCTAAGTTGCGAGAGGCCCCGCGTTCGAATCGCGGTAAGACCCTTCTTTTTTGCTTTTTTCGAGTAAAACCTTTTACGCCACTTTCAACGGGAATCCTTACTCTACACAATTTTCTATATTTCATACCATGGTCTGTGCTAGCAGTGTGCCACCATGTTACGCTTGCTAAGATTAATCGTCCGTTTTTTTTATCTAAAGGCTCTCAGCTACCACTAAGATAAGGCCCCGCACCCCGCACCCCGCACCCCCCTTTCTAAGCGACATGTCACAGAAACAATAATTCACGACGAGGCGGCTGCTAATCAAAAGGTCTAGCACTAGCTGCCTGATATAGGCCAGATCACGCATATAATACACCCCCCCCCCTTCAGGTTACTCGAGTTCATTCGAATTAAACTCATCCCTCTATCATAATCACCTCTCCCGACATGACTGAAAAAGAAAAACTCCGCCAAGGCAGGCATGGGCAGAATCCTGGTCAGGAGCCCCTCAACCGGGTTATCTGGGCTCCCAATCCATTCACAGCCGATGAGAAGTATCCCAGATCAATCTTCCTGTCAGGCTACATCTCATCTACGTACCCGACATGGCGAGAATCCCTCACCTCGTCCCTCCAGGACCTGCCTCTCACAATTTTGAACCCCTGCCGCTCAACCTGGGACTGGGAAGAGTCCATCTCTGATCCCGCCTTCGTGCAACAAGCCAATTGGGAGCTCTCTATGCTCTCCCTTGCCGACCTCGTAGTAGTCGTATTCCCATCTGATCCTGAGATCAAAGGCGCCATCACGTTATTAGAGCTGGGATTGATGATGGGGGAGAGGGGTGGAGAGGGCGTTGTCGTGGTTTGTCCGGAGGGGTACTGGAAGAGAGGGAATGTGCAAGTTGTGTGTAAGAGATATGGTGCTGAGGTGCTGAGTACTGTTGGGGAATTGGATAAGGTGGTCAGGGAGAAGCTAGTTGAGTTGGAGAAGGACCAGACGGGGTACGAGAGGCGGCTGAGATTACTGGAGATGCAAAATGTCAAGAGATTGGATGAGTGGACTGCAGAAAATTCGGGGCCGACGAGCAGCAAGGAAAATGAGAACTCTTGAGGCTTGGGAAGATTTAGATTTAGCCATCACCAGTATTTGATTGTGAAAGCGATGGCTTATTTCCCTCACGCTGCTACATTAAATTGTTGTCAACCAAGGTAATTAGGTAATATCAAAGATCACCGAATCAAAACAATCGATACCAGCAGAACGTTTCGACATCTCCTCCAAAGCTCGAACCACAAAAGCGCAACTTTGAACATGATTAACTTGCAGAACCTTTTTAGAGTACTATCGTGGTCTATAATCTATTTCATGATCAACAGAACGGCGTTGCAAAACAGTTCCCGTTTGATAGTCTGGACTCGGGAAATGACAAGCCTAACGAAAGTACATTGAGGAATATTATACAACCAAACAACTTTACATAGAACACAACTGAAGTCGTACCCATGTCGCATTGAGTATGTTAGTTTGACATCCAGTAGTTTAGAAGCATATCATCCTGCGATTGACTAAGTGTGATTTTAGTACTCAATCATAAAATATGGTTCGTGCAGTGCGACGTAGCAAGCTTTCTCATACTTGCAAGAAACTGTATCAATTACCAATTGTTCTCAAATTGTGTATGGAAATGTGATTGTCTGTCATCATTCTCGTTATCTTGGGTGGCGGAGTTTGAGAGAGTCAACCGCAATTCCGAAATCGCATTATCTAACATCTTGATAGACAGCATCGTTAAAAGCGTCGCCCTGTTCTCCAGGCACGCCCATTACCATCCACGGTCCATGCCAGTAGGGGAATTTCGAAGCCTCTTTTCGGAAGTTTAGCAATGCATGTGTCAAATTGCGAGTCGAGCTGGCCTGACTGATGACAGCAGCCAATAACTCTATGATCCGTCGACTTTCCTCATTCATTTTCGTTCAGGGATACCATTTCACAAGTACCGAGTCTGACTGGATTCAATACAGGTTTCTCATCGAAACCTTTCAATTTCCAATGGATAACTTCCCGATTGCCTTCTTCACCCTTCGACGGTTTATATTCGTTAAATCTGCATGAGAATTCGAACCAAATGAAACGGTGTTTGAGCGCATAAGCAGAAAACAAAATCGCAGGCTTAAAATCTCTCCGTCTATAGTTGCAGGACGAGGATTGTTGTGCATAAATTCGGTATAGTCTTTGGAGTCATATATGCGAGCTGACTAGTCCATTCATTGGCAGTGTTGAGCAGTACATTACTGCCTTGTGTGAGCCACGCCTGTAGAATCCTTGTTCGGATATAGGCTCCACGCAGACAGAGCATGTCTTAGTCGTCGCCGTGGCGTTCTGAAGTCGGTCCGGTCAGTCTCGTCAAAACTAAGTTCAAGAAATGGCTTTGATGCTGAAGTCTGGTAGGCGGCTTCATTTTGGTTAGTTAGTTGGAATAAAAAAGCGGCTATGAGTTGTTTAACTTGTGAAATAGAGGAATTGTAAGTTCTTCTAACTCTTCGAGATCGAAGGTAGAATGAGATGCAAAGACTATTGTTCTAAAAGAGTTGTGTTATTCTAAGCTAGTTCAAAGTAGGCGTCACTTGTATTTTCCGTGAATGCCTTCTCCTTAAAAATGATTGAGAATAAAGTAAAGAGAGACTGAAAATGAAAAAAGGGGTTATTAGGACTTGGTGACATTTTGGGGATGCTGTATCTGTGTGTATATGCTCCACTCATTATATGTCACGCTGCATAGCTACATATAACCATCGAAAGACCTGTGACATTTACTACCAATTTGATGCCTCATGAGCACTCTCCTACTGAACGACAATCTTCAGCACGTATAGTGAGAGTAGGCTTCTAATATTCCGTTCCAATCAAGCTAAGTATGGGAGAGAACTAAATTGCAAGAGTTATCACCATTTGCAAGCCCTGTCTCTTTTAGGCTCCTCGAAGCACGCGTTATATTTGACAGAAGACATGTAGCTTTCGATGATATCTGATTAAGTATCTTTGGTGGCATCACTCTTTATGATATTATCTAGGCATTGCATGCAATATCTCAATATGCTTCTCACATGGTTAGGGTGAAGACTTTTGCGATCAGCTCTAATAACATACACTAGGGCCGCTCCTTGGAAGAGAAGCCAGCCATCCTTCCACTCATCGGTAGTATGCGACCCGGAATAGCTTTTCTCTCCCAGAGGAAACAAGGTAAGAGCCACCAGGACTTGAGTCTTCGATGTCCTATCTGACGATGCTGAAGAATGCGATGTGTCAATTAAATCAATTTGAACCTGCCGAAACACCAAAGCAAGTCTCAAGCAACAAGTAACATGGCTTAGCTTACTGTCTGTAAACTCGCCATCCCTTGTGATGGGAATAGAAGTGAATTCGAAGCCTGGCCTATCTTTTTAACGTAGGTCCTAACGCCCTAGGCGGTATTGCTCCTATCAACTTGTCCGATGATGAATGTGGCGATGTTGTAAAAATATCCAAGGCTTTGGGACGAAAATGACCGACTGCTCCTCCAAAATCAGAGAGAATAATGTACTGACAATCCTTCGCCTCAGTTCCAGTTTCCTTACCAAGGAGCGGCTTGCTAAGGGCAAGCCATGGTACTCTCCAGTGTGGTAACATGATATTTTCTTCAATATCACATTCAAGCATTGGTTCAGAGAGTGGCTAATAGTCATAGACTCGTAATAAATGTAAAGTTCATGGTCTAGAGACTCTCCATATGCATTAGCAGGAGGCAATTCACGATCCCATGTTCGATCCTTGAAGATGGACTCAAGAGCTGGCTGTTCGAACATTTCGCCCTCAGAATTTCTTCCAGTAGTTGGCCCAGACCGAATCCGGATATATTTGGGTCTCGGGTGATCTACGGGAAAAAGTATTCCGAGCTTGAAAACCCTCTCAGAGGTATTTAGATGGTGAGGGTTGTTGAAAATAAACTCTGTGTATACCTTGCATATCAACTTGTGGTCCTTCCAGTCTCGCTTCTGACAATCGGGGAGCAATATTCAATTCCTTTGAAGCCACCGCAATATTAGTCAAAATCGAATACACAGAACAAGTTTTAGTTGCCATAAGGTATATTCTTGAAGTCTGATTGAAGGTTGTTGGGATGCTTCTAGAATTTGAGGAAACCCTGAAATCATGGGAATGTTGATTTAAGTACAGATTTGCCTTGGATATATTTGTACCCATACTTTTGTATCATAATTACTTTGCTTCATGTTGGTTCCGGATAGAGAAAGCTTGCTGCACTTCTTTATAGTGGTCAAAACGGAATCTGACGTGCCTCAAAGTCAATCTATAACACATATATCTTAATTGAACCAGTATCTTTATGAAATAATATACTCAAACTTACCACTTTCTTTGAATTCCATGTATTTACCCTTGCCCTTTTCCAGATGCAAGAGCCGTTCTTAGGTTCCAAGTCGGATGCTGGATGCCAATCATACTCCAAAGGCATCCACAAAAGAGGCTACGTTTCTTTCAGGTTCGAGACAATGCCTGTACAATCGATTCACATGCATGAGCGCCTCATTGATGCTGCACCTTGCATCTGCGTTGTATGCTTGTTAGATTCCGGCAATCCCAATGAAGGTTGTTAATGGCCCCTATAGTGGGTCCTCCCTCTCGCTTGCTGACAAATCTGGCAAGGTTTCAATAAAGCGCATGTGACGGAACTGTAAGCACCAACCACTCTTTCCGACAATGAGGTTCAGAGGAAATCTATATAAAGATGTGCATACGGAGCCCCATCAGCATATATTCGTACAGAGTCCTGAGAAGCTTACCTAAGTGGGGCACAAAGCCATCAAGATCTGTACCGCTCTTCATTCAAAGCAAGCGTCATATCCATCCCAGGATCCGAAACAGTTACAAATGGCAAGACCCGGGACCCGATGAGAGCGAGCGCCCGGCAGAGGCTGAAAAAGTGCTATATCAAGGAGCAGAAACATCAGAAAGCAAGCTTTTCGCCGTCGGAAGCAGTCTTGCGACGCGTCTCTCCACAGATCG